CCCCCTCTCTCTCTCTCTCTCTCTCTCTCTCTCTCTCTCTCTCTCTGCAAAATTAACTGGTCATGTATATGAAAATATTTTTATATGACAGTTCCTATAAGATTTAACCATTTGCTGAACGAGTTCCTCGCAACGAGGAATAATTTTGGAAATATCCCGTTACGTAGTTATGTACGTAACTAAAGAAAAAGATAAAAGAATTTTAGGATGTGTGTTCTCATTGTACTTTGCACTCATCTTCGATAGCGCTTTTGCATAGTTGATCCACTATTCACTTTATGTTCTTTCAAAACCGATCTTTCGTATAGAAATAATTTTTCTAAATGATCAATTTTGTATACTTTGCCGCTGAGTGGTAAAATGAGACGGCCTATGTTGTTCACATAGAATTAATCTTAAAAATAAAATTTATGAAGTTTTTTTCGTCGAAAACAGCCTGATAGTACAGAATTTATGCTACCAATGTGAATAATAATGGCGATGATGATAATAACAATAGTGTTAGAGTGAAACTAGTACCGACTTAACTTATAAAAATGCACGAAAAAAATTAATTTAACGCGATCTTGTAATATAAATATGTAAGAACTGGATTTTCTAGGAACTCCCTTTATGGGGATACCGTCAGTTGAAATATACCGCAAGTATTAATCCTCGAACTAAAAATAGCGTGATCCTAATTTTTGCACGAGAATGCTTCAATTCTTGCATTAGACGTGTATACTAGCGTTTCGTGAATTAAATTAGTAACAAGTAAAATTGTTTTTGGCGTGATACTATAAAAAAAAATATATATATATAATCTTAAAATATTTTTTATTAAAATGGCCTAAAAACGTGAACACAGTTGTCTCAAAGAGACGATAGGAACGAGAGGATCAGTATTTAAGCTAATGCAATTGATCGAGTCGTGATTGTTTTAATGTAAAATACAAATATATATGTATACAAATTGCATTGAATCTTTGAAAGCAATATGACACAGACTACTTTTATGTAACAATAAATAGTTCTCCCATTTTTAGTTTTCCAAACTGGTCAAGTTACTATACGCGTTTTTTATCATTACAAAGATCCAACAAAGAATATTTCTTCTTTGTTTCGTGAAATAGAAGATTAATTAATGTTAATCAACAGGAAAAAGAATTTGTATTATTTTCACTATGATAAACGGTGAATAAAATTGTTATAATGAGCAACTTCACTCGTCCAGAGTAAGTGTCTCTTTATTAAAGTTTTATTATGCACAATGATCATTTATAATATTTATAATATTTGTAATATTTATTTAATATAATTTATTATCTCGTACTTAATTTTTTTGTTTAATATTCAGTATTGTTGTAAAGTTTGCCTAACTAGATGATTAACGAATTATTTATGCGACGAGAAAGAGAGTTTTCCCCATTATCGGGATATACCTCATTTATACGACTCTCTTAATACATAAATTATTTCGTATACGACATAAGCATAGTAAGGAATTAAGTCGAGGAAAGTTATAACATAGAATAGCGATATTCGGGTATGTCATACCAAAGATTTTATTTCACTTTTCAGAGAAGATACGAGAAAATATATAATATTTTCATGATGTCGTTAATGACAGTTATATTGACAGCTAGGTACATTTTAAAAACTGTAGTCACAATACTGATATAGAAAGGTATTGCGATTATATTGATACCCCTTTACTTAAATGAGTCTCTAATTTAAGTGACAATTGTAATATCCTTTAAGAGTCAAATATTTTCTTAATGAACAATTGTACGATGAAATAAGTTTGCAGTTTCGTTGTTTGTATATTTTCAAAATAATCATATAATGATAAAAATATATGTAAAACGTAGAGTATTTATATACACACATACATATATACATACACACAACTTACTGACAATTCCATAATGTCCTGGAGTATATATCTATTGTTTTTATTTAATGTAAGATGCGTTACATTAATTTTATTCTCCCGTAATTATTACGTCGCAAAATATGTTAATCAAACGATATGTAACGATACACTAGCTGATCGATCAAATTGATGTACTTTATATATATATATATTTTTTTTTTTTTTTTTTTTTTTA